TCCTTATTTTTAGACAGAATTGCTCCCTAAAAATACAGATCCCTAAATGGTTAAAATGACTGCTTGCATCTGCCTTCCTAGCACCAGGGTTATAGATACATGTAACAACATCTCTTTTTTATGTGAAAGCTAGAGATCCAAATGCAAGCCTCGTGCCATCCCAGACATATACACTGTCTACCATGTTTGTCACAAAGTCACATTAAGAAATATAAATTTATGTTCTGATTATTCCCACTTGAAGTGAAGTATATTATCTCAGTTTAATTTCCTAATGTGTGTGAGAAAGGATTTCTGAACAATCTAAACATTTCCCTTATGGAATCTTCAACTTCTGAGTGAAAGAGCTAAAAAACTCAATTCTATGTCCTCATTTGGATAAAACATGTGAGGAGATTCAGATCATGGACATTTTCAGGAAGATAACTTTATTACTATATAGTTTCATTCCATGTTTGTTAACCCATTATATACCATGCTTCTGTGCAGCTTAGCTTAAGAACTAAAGGCAATTGTTTCTCTTGCGTTTGATCTGCTTGGTTATATTTAAATATCTTTTAATTTATATGTTTGAGTGTTTTTTTCTACATGTATGTTTGTATTCTACATTTGTGTCTGGTACCCAAAGAATCCAAAAGATTGTATCTTATCTTGGGAGACTATCTGGAGCTACACAGTTGTGAACTGCCAGTTGAGTACTGGGATCCATACCTGGGTCTTTTGGAAGAACTTACAGTGTTCTTAATCACTTGGCCATCTTGCCAGCTGTTTCCTTTACTTGTATGTATTGTTTTGAACGAAAGTAATAACCCACTCAGTTTTGGGACACTCATTCTCTTTTTAAAAAATTACTTCATCTGGCATGAATTAATAACAAAATTTGTTTTTTTTCCCTAGGGAATTTTGGTCAGTATGAACATACCAGTTAATGGGTTTAATTGAGGAAGCATAACCAGACCTTCTAAAGATAAGCTTAAGAAAATGGGATATTTTAAACACTCCAGGCAAGGTGACTCACAGTAGTCGTTCTGCATTTGGGAGGCTGCAACCAGAGGATTTCTGTGAGTTCTAAACCACCACAAGTTGTACAGTGAGTTTGAGAGCATCTACACTGTTTCAAAGAACAAAAACTTACTACCAATAAGAAGGCATACCAGACCTCAAAGCCAATCAAGAGAGTGATTGTTTGCCCCCATAAACAATGTTGCCACTACTGCAGTAGTGGGCCTCCTTTCCTGGCAAGTTGATATTATAGCTTATAGAGACTAGTACTAAATAAGACCACTGTTGTCCTTTCTCTCCCAGAAGGGTGCATAGCACTGTATAGTACTATGAAAAACAGCCAGCCAGGAGTGTTTCCTTGCCAGTTCAAGGTTGATTTTTCTATGTCCAGAAGCCAGCATCTTCAACAATAAGTTCTTAGCCTCTAGTGTTAACAGGCAACCAGGAACAAGCCTGTATTATTTTGATGTTTCCCTAAACAATCACTTACATGAAATGCAAGCCATGTCTGGCATCAGATTTTTATTTTGTAACAAGTCTTCTATCATGTACACAGATGAGAAGTACCTCTATTCAAATTCGCCTTAGTTTTAGAAAAATAGCATTTTCATTTGCTTACAAACTAGTAAAGTTTCACAAGTGTTTTCATACATCCTTGATTTTGCTTAACTCACCTTCTGTTCGTCCCTTTCTCCATGTCCTGTGCCCACAGTACTCCCTTCTATTGTATCACATCTGGTACTATTAGCTCTTATTAAATGTTTTATGTGTTTTCAAGATCACGTGCATTTCATTTTGGTTACGCCTTCACCAATCTCTCACTTCTCCATTCTTATCACTCCTCTACATACTAGAACCTTCTGTCCCCAGAATTGCCTCTCTTTGCTTTCATTTCACCTATATTCTAAAATTTCTGCTCCCTAAATACATCCTTTTTCTTCTAATAACTTGCTTCTATTTTCCTGGATTCTGCATGCATTCCAGGTTAAAAAGATTTGAAGCTAGAATCCACATACAAAAAAGAACATATGGTTTTCGTTTTTAGGGACCTGGGTCACCTCACTCAGTAGTTTTTATTTCCATTTCTAGACCTTATCCTGCAAAGTCAATGACTTTATATTTCATTATAGTTGAATAATATTTCACTGTCTATGTGGGTTTGAGATATGCTTTACGGAGGGATTTCTTGCCTGGTACTGTCAGCATTGTCAAATCCCATAGTTAGGGAAGTCACTGGGACGAGGGGAGCACCTACTAAAGCTGATTTTTAAGTAGTTATGTTGTCAAACTGACTTCTAAATATCTATGACTATAGCAGTAGATCTATGCTGCTCCTAACCTTGGTTACAAATGCTACCTACTGTAGTGGAAATCAATTAATCCAGAGACTCATTACTGTTCATTATCTAATAATGAACAATTGTAATTGCTCAGTCATAGGTAGGGCATCTGTATCAACTGTTTCCTGCGTTCATCTCAGAGAACACGGTGGAAGATGGAGTGGAAAGAATGTAAGAGCCAAAGGATGAGGAGAAGAGTTATAACATGATGTTCTCCAGACATGATGTTGCTGTTGAACACATGAACTCCAGGCAGCTGTGCTAACCTGCAGAAGTGAATCCAGTTGAAACTTCTAGCACAGGCTGGGGAAGACCTCATTAGGTGCCAACCCTACCTGAAGGGCATTGGGTAGTCGATTGATGGCGAGAGAAGGAGAATCACTTGTCTTTATAGGGTGGTCACTACCAAGTTAGCCATGATCCGTGGATGATTCCATACCCATGCGCATTTGGAAGCAGCAATTGGACCCAGTGGGTTTTTTTCTAAATTAAATTTAAAATTGAGAGGGAGAGGGAATCTAAATCCCAGAAAGCATGGAGGTGGAGGGCTGAGGAGTGGATACAACACACAGGATTAATCTTATCACATGTGAACGCATGAGATCTCTCACCAAGAATACCATTTGCTATAAACAGCACAAACGACGTTGGCACCTGTGCTATCCTGTGATACAAGCATAACAATGTTCTACTGAACCATACTGATCTTGTGAGCCTGAAAGGGTACTAACAATGCACCCTACCCTACACATCAACACATTCATTCAAAAAGTAAACATTTGCTTTCGCTATAGTAAGATGTAGCTTATGGTTATCCCAAGGGAAGTTTTATTCCACATGTGATAATGCAGAGTGGGAAACTAATGGAAGGGAGGCAAACAGTTGGTGAGTAGGCAAGAGAGAGCAGTAGAGGGCAAGAACAAATGAGAACAAAGCATAAAGACACGTGAATCTGGGAAAAGGCAAGGAAGGAATACACTGTAAGAGCTGAAGGAGGGGAAGAAAAGGGGGGAAATGATGTAATTATATTTTAATTATACTAAAAATATGTGGGCACAGAGCTGAAGAGAAGCTGTGAGATAGCCCTTGAGTAATAATTTGACTAATTACAATTGCAAAGTACAGCAGCAACATTTAGGAAACATCCCCCTATCTGCTTCACAGAAGTTGCAAGAACAATTTTTTTGCAATGTACTTGACTTCTTGCTCACAGGGACACCCACCAAGGCCTGGGCCTGCTGTTTAAAACATTGTCTGTGCACAAATGCAGCCCAGCCTAACCCTTGGTATCTCTTCCATCCAGGAAGCACAGCTGGAGTTTGCATGATGCCAGATCTTTGTGCACTGAGATTCAGTGCATGTCTCCTGGGCACTATTTGTGTGATGACAGCTTATGAAGCACTTTTTAATTGGCAGAGAACATGGGAGAACTGGAGTATACTTTATAGAAAAATGCATATATTTGTAAGTAAATGTGTCTTTTTATTCTGCTTGTGTGTGAGGCCAGTGAACAGTATTTCTTAGACATTGTAGCAAAGTGGTAGATGGGTTCTATGCATAGTTACCAAGCTTCCAACATGAAGGATATCCATGGGTACTTTAAATGAGATATGCATTTTCTGTAGGGAAAAGGGGCCAGTCAAAGAAACACACCCTGAGCAGAGCCAAAGAAACACGCTTTGGCCCTGTAACCAGAACCAAAGAAATGTACCCTGACCCTAAAACCAGTGCCAAAGGAACACACTTTGTCCCTGGATCAGAGTCAGTGAAAGAAATGCACCCTGGCCCTAAAGTTGGAGCCAAAAGGCTAAAAAGGGCCAGAGAAAGAAACACACTTTGGCCCTGAAACCAGAGCCAAATCTGACCTTAATCCTGTGCAGAAAAGTAACCAATCCTCTAGCAGAGCTCTAGCCAATCTCAGCTCAGCACTGAAATCCGACCAATCCCTACCCTGGAAAAACTTCCCCGCCCCCAAGAATCCCTATATAAACCCTGTGTATGGTAAGCTTGGCTGGTCCAGCTGCCTTCCAATAAACCCCTTTGGATGAGCTTTGGGTGAAGATCTTGTTTTGCAGAGGCAAAGGAGCAGAGGCGACCCTGGCCAGAGCAGAGCAGAGTGGAGCGAGCAGGGCTGCCTGGGAAACCTTCCCTTGGCAGAGCGGAGTTGTTACACCTTCCAGGAGCAGAGCTGAACTGTAGCAACTTCGCTGGCGAAACCTCCTGCCAAGCAAAACTGCTATACTAGGCGAACATCCCCAGCTCATCCCCAGCTGGAAGATCCTGTCCTCCCAGAGTGGAGCTGATACACCTGATACACCGGAGAAGCCTTTCCCTGAGGCAAGGCTGTAAGCAGCTAAACTTACTGCAACCTGTGGTGGTCCTTGGCTCCCCAGCTCCAGGACGCCTTTCCACCTGAACTGTGTAACACTCAGTATTCTGACTCCCGAGTGCCAGAATACCTGATCCACTCCTGTTTCATCCTGTCCCGACCCATCCCAAAATGCTTACATTTTCTAAAATCTTTCCAGTAATAAACTCTGCTAAATGACTCCTTGCATTCTGAGGTGAATCTAAGCAAAAAAATCTGTACATACACTCTTTGAATACACAACTAGAAATATCTGGCAAATTTGGTCTAGAAAGGAAATTATGAATCACCTGCACAGATGCTACCTTTTCCAAAGGACTTTCTACTCGAGGAATGTTGATCATCGGCATACGGGCCACAGTGTCCCTGTGCATGTGCCCATTCTCTGGTTGTCTTCCTTTGAAATTATTTACCACGCATACAACCTAAAATGTCAGGAAACAATTGCAGTTAAAAAGTCATGCATCCTACAGCTATCGCCCTTTTTAGGAGTTTAATAAAACTCCCAAAGCAACTAAGTTTTAAAAAAATTACCTATGTTATATGAATAAAACTTCACAACCAGATTTACAATGAATAAATTTGAATAGTTATTGCAGTGCAGGTAGGTTCAAGAAAATTCACCAGTGAATATGTAACAGAATGAATAATGACAATTCTGATATTCCATAATGTTCATTGATGTATAGAAAATGCTCAATCCAATCCAAAATTAACAGCATAACCTTATAAAAATTCACAGCAAGCTAACATATCCCTAATGTGGCTAACCCACAACTTAATTTTCATGCTCATTATTTCTCAGTGCTTCAAGAGTATTGCATTCACACTAATCCTTGACAGTTGGAAAAATCTAATATAATAATACCCCTTTAATTATACTAGTTTGTTGTATATTGTTTCTCATATATAGGCAAGATTTGAGAAATAGCTTACCAGAGATACTACTGAAATAGAAGACTTTTCACATAAAGGAAATTGACCCTCATTTTAACTGATTATATGCTAGAGGTGAAAATGTGAACCATGCATGAAAATTAAGTTCCTGTAATGTTAAAAATATACTTTCCTAGAAAATGATTCTGATTTAATAGGTGAGGAAGACAAAACTTTTAAATGCATTCCAGAAGTTTCTGATGAAAATGAATCATATTTAAAGACTAATGATTTAAGCAACACAGGAAAATCAGTTCCTATGGTGAGGGCTATTTTCTTTTCCTGGGCTTTTTATTCTAGAGTAAATAGGACTTAATGTTAGTTTCCACCTAATATTCATTTTACATAAAGTAAATGCTTAGTCAATAAATTGTGTATTTTCATAAATTTATCAGTGGGTGATTTTCTTTTGTTAAGCATACTAATGAATGCTTATTTTGTTTCTAAAATTTTTGAAGATTTACTTAATTTTATGTGTAAGAGTTCTTGCCCACATATATGTATGAGCATCATGTATGTGCCTGCACATGATGGTCAGAAGAGGAGGTTAGATGACGTGGAACTAGAGCTCCAGATGGTAGTGAGCCAATACATGTGTGTTGGGAACAAAAAATGGGTCCTCTGAAAGAGCAGCCAGTGCTCTTAACCTCTAAGTCATCTCTCCAGCTACATTATTACTAAGTAATTCTAAATAGCAATTAAATCTTGGTTACTCACCCATTTTTGAATAAAATACACAAGGGTATGAAATAATAACATATACTATATACAATACTTTATATCACAAAATTATTGCTTTAAACCTTCCTAAGTCCTAAAAGAATTATAGGTTAAAACCATAGATAAAACCTCAATACTACCATACGACAACTTTTTCTGCATTTACCATGATCTTTAAAGTAAGGATGATAAGGGATTGAAGGTTTTATTCAGTACACTTTTTACCTTATAAAGTTGTGGTGATCACACAAAAGACTAAAAGAAGTAGATTGTTCAAGAATGTGTGAGTAACAAGGAGAACCCTAAGAGAGACATACTTGGATACCCCTGGGAAGGGGAAATAGACAAAATCTCCTGAGAAAATTGGGAGTGTGTGGAGGGAGGAGGGAGAGCAGAAAAATAGGGGAAGGGGAGAAGTGGGAGGGGAGGAGAACATGAGGGAATGCAATGGTTGAGAAGGGGAAAGGACAGAGAGGGAGCGTAAGGAAAGAGATATCTTGATAGAAAGAACCATTGTGGGGTTAGCCAGAACCATAGCACTAGGAAAATTCTCAGAAATCCACAAGGATGACCCCAGCAAAGACCCTAAGCATTACTGGAGAAGGTGCCTGAACTGGCCTTCCTCTGTAATTAGACTGATGACTACCTGAGTTATCATCATGGAATATTCATCTAGCAACTGATAGAAGCAATCGCAACTACTCAACTCTATATTTTGAAGGGAAGGCAGCAATTCCAGATGCTCAACCGAGAAGATATGTTGAAATTCTCATAAGCTTCCCTTACTAAGGCAGACAATAGGTCCAATTTGGTCTGCAGGCTCTACTTTGATGAATGAACACTGCTCTGACACACAAAGGATAGATTTGCTAACTTTAGGTAACAATTTTAATGACACAGAGTTTCACATCCATATCCTAAAACACACTTCCAGAAATCACTCTTCTAACACATATTCATTCAGGATCCCTTACTTCAATTCAGAGCTCACCAAACCCACTAGTCTATCTAATTAGCTTGTCCAAAAGGTGTTTTCTCTCAGTCTTCAATGTGCTGGGATTACAGACACCAACATTGCTCACCCAGCATTTCATGGATCCAGGAATCCTCATATATGTGGAACAAGTGCTTTATGGCTTTGCTTTCCCATGGAAGTCTCCCCTGAGCCCTCAGCTAGGCAAGCTCACTGTGTTTCAGTGTTCTTGTTTTCTCTGTGCTCACACAGGACTCTATAAGAGCATCAGGCTCAAAATGAAATTTCACACTGTATAAGGAAGTACCTCGATTCATGTTTCTTCTAAGACACTGCACAAATCAGGAAACCTGCCTGAAGTTTGCTGCCTCTATACTCAACTATCATGGTGAGTGACACCATTCATGAATGAGCACACTAATGAATGAACATACAACCTAGTCACAAATTGTCAAATATAAAATTTTATGTGTATAATTTAATTTCCTTTCAAACACTGTAGTTTTATATCAATGGCTTTGTTGGGGAAGTCTTATGTCAATAAAGTACTGTTGAGCCTATAGGGAACCAAGATAGGAGGGATTAGGAGTCCAGGAGAACTCTGGGAAGGAGAAACACAAGGGAGTCGAGATGTAACGCCATTGGGGTAGGAAGCCCGGAAACCTCTCCGGTAAGAGACATACTTAGATTAACAATTATGGGGTAATTACTTAAGTCAGAGCTGGCCAATAAGAAACAAGCAAGGCCAACAGCTTCATAATTAATACAGCGTCTTGTGTGTTTATTTGGGACTGATGCGGATCTGGAACCAGGCTGGCGGAACGGCTCCTTCTCAAGGAAAAAGCTTCTCGTAACATGGCTTCCATTCGTGTAAGTCTATATTCTCCTAAAAAGCTTACAAAAAATAACCACTATCATACATATTTTTGGTTAATAAATGTTTTTTTTGGCTTTTCAAGACAGAGTTTCTCTGTATTGTTTTGGAGGCTGTCCTGGCACTCGCTCTGTAGAACAGGCTGGCCTTGAACTCACAGAGGTCCATCTGACTCTGCCTCCCCGAGTGCTGGGATTAAAGGCGTGTGCCACCAATACCCGGCGTATTAATACATTTTTATGTATTCACATTTCTCTTCCTATAATTGTTGCATTATGAAATTTATGGACTCAATATTGGCAGAAGGAGATGGGAGAAAGAGAGAGGGAAAAGAGGAGGGGAGAGGAGTACACAGGGAACAGGAAGATTGAGCCAGGGTAAGAATAGAGGAGAGAAAGATAAGAGATGCTGTAGCAGAGGGAGCCATTATAAGTTGGAGGAGAGATCTGGCACTAGTGAGATCTTCACAGATCTACAAGAATGACACCAACTGGCATTAAGGCTACATAAAATGTCCTCCCATGATAATGAGATTGATGACTACCTTACATGCCATCCTAGAACCCTCATCCAGTGGCTGACAGAAGCAGAGGCAGACACCCACAGCTAGAAACCGAACTGAACTCCTGGAACCCAGTTGCAAAGAGGAGTGATGGGCAAAGGACTCAAGATCAGGCTGGCAAAACCCACAGAGGCAGCTGACCTAAACAAGGGGGAGCACATGGACTCCAGACTGATGACTGAGAGGCCAGCATGGGATTGATCCAGATATGCCCCCCCAGAACCAGGGTGTCAGAGAAGAGGCCTTGACAATCTATAGACCTTGGAGAGTAGAGCAGTATTTATTCCTGGCATTCAAATAGAATCTGGGAGCTCATTCCACATGGAGGGATGCTCTCTTAGCCTGGACACAGAGGGGAGGACCTAGACCCTGCACAGGATGATATGACAGACTCTGAAAATTCCTCATAGAAACCCTTCTCAACTCCCAACTGTGGAGTTGATGAGAGATGGAGTAGGGTAGGGGGTTGGGAGTTTTGAGGTGTCAGGGGAGAGGGAAGGGAGAGGAAACTAGGAGTAACTCATGCAAAAAGTTGAATAAAAAAGAATTATTTTAACTAGGAAAAAGCAAACAAACAAAAAGAACAGATAAGTATTTTTTTTTTGGTTTTACGAGACAGGGTTTCTCTGTTTTGGAGGCTGTCGGTCCAGCCTGGCCTCAAACTCACAGAGATCCGCCTGCCTCTGCCTCCCGCGTGCTGGGATTAAAGGCGTGCGCCACCAAAGCCCGAGTAATTTAAACAGATATATAATCCCTAATGAAATAGAAGCAGTCATCAAAAATCTCCTAACCAGCCGGGTGGTGGTGGCGCACGCCTTTAATCCCAGCACTCGGGAGGCAGAGGCAGGCAGATCTCTGTGAGTTTGAGGCTGGGCTGGACCGATAGCCTCCAAAACAATACAGAGAAACCCTGTCTCGTAAAAACCAAAAAAAAAAATCTAACCAAAAAAAGTCCAGGCCCAGATGGCTTTAGTGCAGAATAATACCACAAATTCAAAGAAGAGCTAATACCAATGCTCCTCAAAGAGTTCCATACAATAGAAGGAGAAGGTTCATTGCCAAACTCTGTTTTTGAGGCTACAATTAGCTTGGTACCCACACCACACAAAGACACAATGAAGAAAGAGAACTATAGACCAATATCGCTCATGAATATTGATGCAAAAGTATTTTGCAGGGATGGTTCAACATATGAAAATCTATCAATGTAATCTACTGCAAAAGAAAAATCACATGATCATATCACTAGAAGCAGAAAAAGTCTTTGACAAAATCTAACACCCCTTCATGGTAAAGGTCTTGGAAATATCAGGGATAACAGGAACATACCTAAACATAATAAAAGCAACATAAAGTAAAA